TGAGCATTGTCCCATGGAAGAAGAGGTCCCAGTTTGATTCCTAGTCAGGGCACGTGCCTAGGTTGTGGGCTCAATCCCCAATAGGGGGCATGCAGGAGGCAGCTGATCAGTGCATGTCTCTTACATCAATCTTTCTATCACTCTGTGAAAAAAGCATACACCATGACCAAGATGGATTTATTATTATTCCAGAGATGCAAAGTTGATAGAGTATACGCAAATCAATAAATGTGATACACCACAAAAACAAAATGAAGGATAAAATTTACATGATCATATCAATAGATACAGAAAAAGCATTTGATAAAATCCGGCACCATTTGTGATAAAAACTCTCAGCAAGGTGGGAATAGAGCCAATATCCCAGAAATTCATATGGAACCACAAATGACCCCTAATAGCCACAGCAATCTTGAGAAAGAAGAATAAAATTGGTGGAATCATGCCACCTCTATCAAACTATACTAAAAAACCATAATCAAAACAGCATGGTACTGGCATAAAAACAGACATAATACCTCAATGGAACAGAATAGAGAGACCAGAAATAAGCCCACATCTTTATGGTCAATTTGTATTTGACAAAGGAGATAAGAACATACAATTGGGTTAATATAGTCTATTCAATAAATGATGTTGTGAAAATTGAACGTACATGCAAACAATGAAATACACCACCTTCTTAACCCGTACACAAGAATAAACTGAAAATGCATTCAAGACTTAAATTTTAGACTCGAAACCATAAGAATCCTAGAAGAAAACATAGGCAGTAAAATCTTGGACATTTCTCATACCAATATACTTTCTGATGTATCTCCTCGGGCAAGGGAAACAAAAGAAAAAAAAAATAAACAAGTAGGACTACATCAAACTAAAAATTCTTTACACAGCAAAGGAAACCATCAACAAAATGAAAAGACAACCCTCTGAATGGTAGAACATATTTGCCAATGATATATCTCATAAGGGGTTCATATCCAAAATTTCTAAGGAACTTATAAAACTCAACACCAAGAATGTAAACAGTCTATTTAAAAAAAGGCAGAGAACCTGAGTGGACACTTCTCCAAAGAAGACATACAGATGGCCGATAGACATGAAAAGATGCTCAACATCACTAATCATCGGGGAAATGCAAATTAAAACCACAATGAGATATCACCTCACACTTGTCAGAATGGCTATCATCAGTAAATTAACAAACAGCAACTGTTGGCAAGAATGTGGAGAAAGGGAACCCTTGTGCACTGGGGTGGAAATTCAGATTAGTGCAGCCACTGTGGAAAGCAGTATGGAGTTACCTCAAAAAATTAAAAATGGAACTGCCTTATGACCCAGCAATTCCACTTCTAGTAACCTATCCCGAAGAAACCCGAAACATTAATTCAAAAGAATATATGCACCCCTCTGTTTATTGCAGTGTTATTTACAATAGCCACGATTGGAAGCAGCCAAAGTGCCCATTAGTAAGTGAGTGGATAAAAAAGCTGTAGTACATTTACACAATGGAATGCTACTAGGCTGTTAAAAAGGAAATCTTTACTTTTTGTGACAGTATAGATGGACCTGGAGAATATTATGCTAGTCAGAGAAAGATAGGTACCATATGATTTCACTTATATGTAGAATCTAATGAAAAAATTAACAAACAAAAATAGAAACAGACTAATAGATATAGACTGACAGCTGTCAGAGGCAAAGGAGGTTGTGGGACTGGGTTAAAAAGGTGTAGGATTTAAGCAAAACAAACAAAACCAACAACTCATAGAAATTACAATGTGGGGATTACCAGAGGAAAAGGGGGATATGGGGAGGTAGAAGTGAGTAAAGAATGGTGATGGAAGGAGACCTGACTTGGAGTGGTAAACACACAATACAATATACAAATAATGCGTTATATAGAATTGTATACCTGAAAACTATATAATTATATTAATAAATGTTAGCCTTATAAATTCAATAAAAATAAAAGTAAAACAACCATCAATCAGACACATACACACAACTTCTGATACTGCTTTCCCCAAGAACCACACACTGTTGCAATTGCCTTGCTCTTTGTGTGGTATGGAAATGGTGTGGGGCTGGGTAAGACCACTCTGAGACCTGAGCCGGTTGCCACTGACTCTCCACAAGCTTGTCCTTGTAACATTTAGATGTCAGACACTTATTAGGTGAATCCATACTCTGATTCAGGAACTGTATTGGGTTCTGGGATATAAAAATAAAAAAGATGCAGTCCATGTCTTCAAGTAGCTTTCATTATAGTGGCATTAATGGGCAAGTAAATAGGTAATTAACTAATAGGTAAAATAAAGTGTGATAAATTCTGTAGATGGGAACACATTGGAAGAGTTCAGCACTTCAATTCTGAGCAAGGGCTAAGGTTTTTCCAGTGAAGGTAAGGTTTAAGTTGAGTGCTGAAGGATTTGTTTAGAGGCTGGGAGAAAGGAGCATCTGTGGTAGAACAAGTGGTTCAGTAGTGCGTGGAGGCAGGAGCCATTTTAAACCATTAGAATGCTTTGTAGTAATCTGGGAGAGAACAGATGAGGCTAGTAATCTCTCTGTAATCTGGGAGAGAAAACAAAAGGCCTAAAATAGGGTAGTACCTGTAAAGAGGGAAGTGATTAAATCTAAATAGTAATTAAGGATGTTGGATAGCCAAGAACCTGTGGTTAGAATACATTTATTTATATCTGGCAGTGAAAGAAAGGGCTTGTGTCAAGGATGATGCCTAGTTTTTTTAAGGCATACTGCTCTAAAAGCATATTTCCTAAACAGAACTTAATTTAAAGAATCACTTGGAGACATAGCAAAGCAATAGCCTAGCCAATCTTTTCTTTTCTTTTTTTTTTTAAAGGAATGGTTTCTTATTCTTGATTCCAAAATTCAAACAGCTCAGAGAACTGAGTAATTTTCCCCAATTTTATGACAAACTCAGTTGACAGCAGAATCTACCCTGAAATGAAGCTACTTACAGCCTTTGTTTATCCCACTTTAGGGGACGTTCATGTGTTTCTTTTAGAATGAATGTGTATGATGGTGAGATGCTGCTTCAAGCCATGCTGTCAGTGTCACATGACATAGGATGTATAACTTATTACCTTTCTAAACTCCAGAATTTTCTGATGAAGCATGTCTAGCCCCAATAGTTTCAGATAATTAATTAGGACTTGTACTTTAAGTCTGAACGTGTTTTTAATATTGCAATATTATTTTCTAATAAGAATCATTATGTGACAATGTAGCCATGGGGGAAAATGAAATAGATGTATATTATTTAGAGCAAACTCCAAGATAGATTGCCTAGTGAAGATACAAAACACTGTGTATGGTTTAATAAAAAAAAAAAAGAGGAAAAAGAAAGACACACATACACTATAAACATATACACACAAATAGAATATCTTTATAAGGACAAACAAAGAGTTAATATTAATGATTGAGAACTGGGAGTCAATGATGGGAGGAAAACTTAATTTTATTGTGTACACACACACATCTTGTCAGATGTTTCACTATATACATTATTCTTTTTGTTTAGAACTTATATTACACAAATAATCATATGAGAATGTCCTTGTGAAAACCTAAAGATCTCTTTGCCTTCTAGATCCAATAAATGAATTAATTTTGTAATAATAAAGTTAAAAATAATTGTTAATGTAGCTATTAGCCTTTTCTGACAGTTTGTTGCAATTTATTCCTATCATTTGCCATTAGAACTACATCCAGAGAATGAGTTTTAGAAATCCTTACATTTTTAAACATTGAATACATACAGTATTGCTAAGATTGCCAGAATCAGAAAGTAGAGAAGAGACTGACTCAAGATAAGTGCTTTGCTAATCAGTAGATGTTGGAATTTATTCCCAGTATGTCAGACTGGGCAGTGAGAGCAAAGGTTGGAAACCATGAATTTAGTTTTCAGGCAGCGGATTTGGAGGGAAAAAAGATAGGGACATTTGGAAAGATTGCATAGCAAGACAAAGGAAACAGAGAAGTATATTTTTTGGCAAAGAAAATTGGAGACAGAAATAAAATAAATAAAGGCCCTTTCCGAGGAAGAAAGAGGTGTGGGGGAAAGACTAAAGATCATGAATGCAATACTGTCTTTGGTTGGTGACTTTCCATAATTTTTTTCTGCATTGTGGTAGAAATTTATTTTATGTTAAAAAATAAGGCTTAGTATTTTTGATGGAATTAAAATACTACTTGATCAGAGTGAGAAAATCCAAAAAACATTTGTCACTATTAAATTAGTATAGACTGAGATCCGGATAAAATAGAATTCATCTATTTGCCACGTTTCACCAACTGTATATTTAAATTATCTTTGCTATTTGCACAGGTATTTGTATTTTAATTCTATCAATAGTTTTTGTGTACAGTGAAGAGTAAGAAATTAATTAAAATATGATATTAGATGTTTGTGTTTTCTTTGGTGATATTTCATTTTCTAATACTTTCATAGTCTTAGGTCCTGATTTATGCACTAAGTTAATAAAATAATGTCAACAAAAATGTGTTAAAATGTATTTGTTTAGCTATGAAATTATGAACATATTCTTTGTGATTATATTGTTTATATAAAAATGCAACCATAATGGATGGGATCTAGTTAGTGTATAGAATCTATATATTTGAACATTTTCATGATAAAAGTTGGAGAAAAACTCTAATTAAAAAGTTAATGTAAAATAAACAGATAAATTGATAGTAAAATAATATACTCCTTTTTCTTATGTACTGACTGAAAAATCTGGAACATTCTTTCTGTTAGTGGAATACCAATTTAGTGGTAATACTAGTAGATATAAATTAACTATCTGTTTCCTTTTGATGGGAATTGTTTTGTCCCTAAAAACAGTGCTATGTGAACATTAGTAAAGATATATGAAAAATTTCTAAAGGTTTATAAAACAGTTTTAAGGTAAACATAAATTATAGCAGACAGGGTTTAACAACTATTTAGAACTTTTATTCTTCTATTTTAGGGAATCTGGAAACATCAAAGCTGGATTAGAACATCTGGTAAGTTCTAATTTTCTCTTGAACATTTGCATCATCTTTGATATCTGCATTCTAAATGAACACTTTTGAATGAGCTTTGAATACCTTGTATTGAGAAAGTCAACCATTTCCCAAAGGGTCAGCTTACTGTTATTATGTGAAGGCACTTACATTTTCATTTATCTTGTCATTTCAAGGGAATTTAAATTTTTTCAAATTACTTTTTTTTGATGTAGAGATGAAATAAAATGGATGACAATCCTTGGATTGATGATTGCTTTAATTATAAACAAAAATGTTTGGTGTAGAATTTTTGGCATATCTTGATCTGACAAAAACAAGCTTGTGTTTTAAGAAAAACACAATCAAATATTGCATGCATAAATATGGTATGTTTTAGCAATTTAACAGCTTTGAAAGAAGTACACAGCTTTGTTTTTCCTAATGTCTTTGCTTTATGAATAATGCATTGATTTAAACTACATTCAGTTTAGAATATAAAATAATTGAAATGCAAAATTTTTGGTTTAAGTAAACATTTTTAAAGCATAAGTGAAATTCAAATTGACTTAACATTAAAATCTGTCCATTAATCAAAAAATTGGAAAAACTGTTGGATTATAACAGGCCCCAAATTTATTGAGCTTACCATAATGAGTGTTCATTACAACATTAAGTAGTTCATTTAAACAGAGCATTATAAAATCATGCTCTGGTTTCTGGTCAAATCCAAATGTTGAATAATTAATGAGAGAGGTTCTTTTGTAAATACAATCTAAGTACTTTTTTAATGCAAGACCTCATTCGTATATCATATTATAGCTTTGTTAACTATTAATGTGCTTTGTTCTCCTACAAAAACAAACGGTAGCAAGAGGCAGCTTCATTTTGACTTATAGTAGTAGAGTTGTAAGGGATTTTTGCTTTTTGTTTCAATAGCTAACGGAAACTGTGGAAACTTAGACTTCTGAAAAATTATCCTAAAATGACATTGTTAAAAAGCAGGATATAATAACTTAGAAAATTTGAACTATATATTTGTCCAGGTTAGAAGTAAATAAATAAAATTGTTCTTCTCATTATTAAAAATTATATCCTGAATCCCTGGTAATCACTTCATAGTGGCACATATATTTAGGACATACAGAAATCAGAATAAAACATCAAAATCTAAGACATCAAATTTCAGTATCAGTTGGGGGTTTATAACAAGGAAGAATACCTACCATAGTACCAAAGTAAGCTGTCTTTTATATTTCTTTTGTAAGTTATTTATTAAAAACACTTTATATTACTTGATTCATATTCCTTAGTACATATTAATGAGTTAGATTTCATTTTAGTTTAAATTTCACATTTTTTATACTTACGAGTTTACTTACTCATTTATATGTATTCATTTTCAGTGACTGTTTCATGCATTTATACTCATAATCTTATGCAGCAGTGGTTTTCTAACTGTGCCTCGGGCTGCCAGGAAGGCTCCCCAAAGCAGGTGGCACTGCAGACTTTCCCCACCCGCTTTAACCAGAGTAGTTCCACTTTTGGTTATTTTGTAAAATTTTAAACTTTTAAAATAAGATTTTATCTGATGAGTTTTTCAACTAAAAGTATGTAAAATATTTTAAAGTCAGGAGCAATTGTTTATTAATTATTATCTTCTATTCTTGAACCTAAGTTATATTTCAGTTTTATCTGTGTCATAATACATGAAATATATTTCATACATAATGCATTTTTGGGATTGGAGAACCTGGATTAGCACAACAGGTAGTGGGAAGTAGATGATTTTAATGCATTTTATCTAAGTTGTTTAGAAGACTGTCACTTATCATTGTAAATTGACTCAACTCTGAACTATTAACAAGCATATGAATATATGACTATATAACGTAACAACCATATACATATATACATACATATATACTGCTTTGCGCACTAATATTCAAAAAAGTCAATGATGTTCTTTATAACAACCTGAGAAGTAAGTGAACATATGAATATATAACATAATACCACACACAGATATACATATATATATATTGCTTTGTGCACTAATATTCTAATAAGTCAGTGATATTCTTTATAACAACCTGCGAAGTAAGGGAACTCAAGAATTTGTTGGTCGAGTGTTAATGAAACCTGGCTATCTAGCAGTTGTGGGCTCCTTTGGTTTGTGTCTATCCACTTTCCAACTGAGCCGAAACTTGTAGCCCGTGCCATCTGGCACAGATAGTCTGCCTTTAAATTGGCTGTATAGCCAAATACAATTAGAAGTATAACTTCTAATAGATTGACTTTATAATATATATGGTATAAAATTAAAATGAGAAAAGCATACGACACATAGGAATAATTTCTCCTTTGTATAGCCTTCGCCTTTTCAAATTTATTTTGTTCTATTATTTCTATGTTGCCAACTTTTTGGGGGAACTGTCTAACATGTTATTCTTAGGTTAATATACTTATACTGCCCAGTACCATTTCATTTTTCTTTCGTCTACTACCCATAAAGCCTATGTCTGCTTCAGGTTCTAGACAGAGCCTGTGAAGCATGGTGCCCCATCGTTCACTGATGATTCTTGCCTGATAATTGCAAAATGGAGATTTTCCAACTCTTCTTCTGCTCCTCCCACATTTAGCAGGCAGCAGTCTACTGTAAGGAGAGCCTCCCCTTCTTTCTTACTTTTCTAAATATTGTGAGCAAGGACTACTGATTTTTATTTTACTAAATAGGTTATCATTAATTACTTTTCTTATTTATTTTGATGCTCAAGTTGTCCCAGACTTTTCTAGGGAGTATACTTTCAAGATGGCTTCTGGGTCCTTTTGACATACCCATCTTTTTATTTTATTTTTTTTCTTTAAGTGTTGTCTCACATTCTGGCACAACAATATATGTCAGGTTCTTCTTATACCTTCCCTGTTCTAATTCTGGAATCAGTCATTTCTTCAAATTACCCTGTTTCATTATAGAGGAAAATAGTATTTAGAAGTCAAGATCTGATATGATGTGCTCTTTATCTCTGGAATTTTATTACTTCTAGGACCTTTCAGTCTTAGATTAGAGAACTAGGTAGGCAGGTAGATATTTTTAAGAAATTATGAGTCAGCCCTGGCCAGTTTGGCTCAGCGGTTAGAGCGTCGGCCTGCGGTCCGGAGAGACCTGGTTCGGTTTCCGCTAAGGGCACGTACTTTGGTTGCAGTTTGTCCCCGGCCCTGGTTGGTCATGCGGGTGGCAGCCACTCGATGTGTCCCTTCACGTCGATGTTTCTCACTCTCTCTCCCTTCCTCTCTCTCCCTCCCATTCTATCTGTACAAAAAATGGGAAAATATCCTTGGGCGAGGATAAAAAAAAAAAAAAGAAATTATGAGTCATAGTAATACTTCCAGTTTCAATCCAAACCACAAAACTCGTTGTCTCCCTATTTCATATTTGTATTTCTCTTCATTTAAAGTGAGAACCCTTACTCCTAATATCATCAATATATTTACCCATTAATTCAAGATTCATTTGAATTATTTTCATCCTTGGGTATAGTTAGGTTATTCCTTTGAAATATAGTTGCATGCATTTGTTTCTGTTTGCATTGAGTTTTAGGTGATTTTGTCTCCATTCCTGTTGATTTAATTATATATTTGAATATCTGTATTTTAACATACTTCTAAAAGTTAAAATATTATGTACAGTGATATTCTCAGAGAGGCAGCTCTCCCTTCCCTTCTAGCACCTCTACTTCTTATAGGTAGCTAACTTTATTAACTTCTGGTTTATCTCTTCTGTGCTTCTTTGTGTAACATATGCCTATATATATGTATATGTGTGTATGTGTTTCTATTTTCTCTTATAAAAGTAGCATATTGCATATACTTTTTTGTTCTTTGCTTTTTAAAAATGTAACGTTATATCCTGGGAATTGCTGCATAATTATTGTGTGTATCATATTTACTGTGTATTTTTTTATTTTTGTTTTCTTTTTATTGATTTTAGAGAGAGAGAGGAAGGGAGAGGGAGAGAGAGATAGAAATATCAATGAGAGAGAACATCAGTTGGCCGCCTCCTGCATGCCCTCCACTGGGGATTGGGCCCACAACCTGGGCATGTGCCCTGACCCGGAATCCAACCTGCGACCTCTTAGTGCATGGGGCTGATGCTCAACTACTGAGTCACACCAACCAGCCTATTTACTGTGTTTTTTTCTCTGTTTGGTGGTGTCTTTATTAAGGGTGTAAGATTTTAGTCTACTTGCATGCCTGCTACTTTTTCATAGATGCTGAGAGAAGACACAAGATTTCTGGGTCAGAGACAAAGCACTTTATTACGGATAGCACAAAAGGTAGTAGTACATGCTTCATGGCTGTATAGGTTCCCCTTGACCCCCAAGTCCCATGAGGTGATGCTGCATACCCAGTAGGTTTGTGTCATTGCTGAAGGACTTTAAGTTTAGGAGTTCTTTAAGGAGCTTATAGAAAATCTGTCCAAACTTTGCCTAAGAGTAAGACATTGTCTTTTACTATCCTAGTTAGGTAACAAAACTGCCTTCTGCTCCAGGGGCAGATTTATATCTGTCTTCCAAGACTGTTTGCTATACAAAACATTTTGAAAGGTAGTTTTGAACAAAGGCTGATGGCTAATGTAATATGTGTAGAATGTTATAGGGAATTGTCTCTGAAGTTATTATGATTATGAATTTTGGAAGGTTTGTGTTTTTGTTCTAGTGGTACCTTTGTACTTATATCTTTTATAATGCTCTTCATCCTCCTTATTTATACTTAACTTTTTAAATGGTACTCTTGACTTCCATTTATTACCTGTAATAGCTGATGTTCCTGTTGTACTTTCCCTTACTTCCTTTTTCCTCATATTTCTTTCTGTGTGCTTACTACTTTGTTAGAATATGCATGTACATATTATTCTTCCACTCATGCTGTCACCTTCTTTTAGAGCCAATTCTAAAATTAAATTTATTAAATATTTACATCAGTTTGCTGATATTTACCCACTTATTTCCTGTTTGTAT